GTCAATGTATAAGATAAAGCAACTTCAGATTTATTCAGTAATCGACAATTTGCATCCCGAATTTATACAGGAATGAAATTAATTCATATCTACTCATAATCATGTAATTAAGCATTTTAATGATTTGACCGATTAATCGAAAAAATAATCGACAGATTAATCGATTATTAAAATAATCGTTAGTTGCAGCCCTAAACTCAACCATGGATTTTATTTACTGTTCCACCTGCAGGCTGAACATTAAAAAATTAAGACACATGTTAATGACAAGTAGCTATTTATCTGAGCCAGAACTATAAGAATATCCCATAATGCATCAGGATAAGTCTGGTTGCACAGAAACCATCTGAAACTGATGAGACTAACTGCGGTTCTGTGGGTTTATCCTGCTGACACTAGCCTTCTGACAGCAGCAAAGTATCTCAGTGCTGACCCATGATCATGACCTGCACAGAACCCACACCTAACCTGAGGCACCAACCAGCTCTCACCTTGATGGAGTCCACCAGGTCTTCAACCAGGAACAGGCGCCTCAGTTCACCGATGGTCTTGTTGAGCCTCTCCAGAACCATGTCGCTGTACTTGTGAACCGTGTCCTCGGACAGCGCCACCTCCTGGTCCAGATACTGCCTGATGAGAGGAGAGGAGCAGAACAGCTGATGAAGTGGACTGGTTCAGAATTCAGCTCTGGCTTTATAATAAAACTGTCAAAAAGAAGGTTCTGCTATAGTCATGTTTAGAAAGTTATTTAAATTCACTTACACAGTTGCTTCAGGTCCAAAGACTTTTTAAAATTTAATGAATAAAATTATTTTTAAAGATGATTCATTAAAAACTTGAAACTCTAATTTGCCCTGATTCAGTCAGTCTCATTGGTTTCCATTTGTTGCCTTGATGTGTGTATTATCATAAAACTCACCACCAGTGAATAAATAAAAAAGAAACCAGTGGTACACTGACAAGTAATAGGTGAGAGGGCCCTGTCTTTGGAAAAACTTGCCTTAGTTTGATTCAAAATGGCAGCTTTCAAGATATCATTAATGTTCTGGACATAGCCTAAAATATATCTGTGGTGTTCAGTTATGACATTTTCCCTTTGAAATTTGAATCACTCTGCATAAGAAAAGAATTTTTTTTTTCTTTGCTTGACCAAGGCAGTGCAGAGTGATACACCTTGGTGCGAGGAGAAAGAAATTTTATCCACCATCAGGTGAAATGGTGGAGCCAGGGGTGGCCTTGCCCACCACAGATTAATCTTCAGCCAACCCTACCTTTTCAAGTTACTGTACTTTGAAGTAGGCCTGGGCGACAAACCGAAAAATAACTGATACCGACATTTATATCAATAACCAACGTCATTTTGCCCGTGTCGCTATTTTTAGTATTTAAAAAAATGAGGAAGAGAGAAACCTTCTCGTTTTCTGTTGCGGCCTCAAGCCAACAAATCAAATGAACCCAACAGCATAGATGATCCAATCAGAGCAGACCAGGGCGGGTCTTTCTGATGTCGGTGAAGCAGTCTGCAGGATAAACACCGGTTAGCCTTCAGCTCCTGTCCTGAGCGAGCAAACCACATCCTCTCTCCACACTTTGCTCCTGAGCTACCAGAGACGTTGGTATCTAAAATCTAACACACTAAGTTTGTGTTCAGAGCGTCGTTATTGAACAGAAATGTCCAACTTTGCTCGCGTGACCAAACTCCTCTCCTCAGCAGCTCTGTTATGGGAGCGCGCTGAGGTGCACACAAGCTGAGTTCTGAGAGCTGCTGTTTCAGTTCTTCTAACGAAACAATATCAACTAACAGATGAACATTTCTTTGTCCCATATTATAGAAAAGACGAGTCTCCGCTTAGCGTTACCCCCCATAAAATAAATAAATGAATAATAAAAAATGCTATGCAGTATTAACATCTACAAATTTACTTCTTCACAATATAGCTTGTTTATATTTAGAACCATACAGTGACTAAACTGCTCTGTGATTCAATAAATGATCAAATAAGAATAAATTGTATTAAATAATTACATGAGCTCTCTAAATAATATAATCTTTTGGAAAGAAATTGTTATTTTAATAGAGAAATCAGTCAGTCTAACAAATAAAAACATGTATAAGTTATTTTGTGCAGTACAAAAGACATAATTTTTTTAATATAAAATTATACATAATTTGTTCGTTTGCACTGAATAGTTATAATACGGAGATGGTTAAATATTTGTTTCAATATGTGTGACTCAAGTCTTGCCAAAAATATTTTTTATTAAATATTAAAAACACTAAAATGACAAATATAAACTACAGAAAAGCTGTTCAAAATCTAAACTGTGTACTTTGACAAGAACATGGACACAGTGTATAGTGCTATGACTATACTTTACCATGTACTTGTGTGTGGTGGGGGGGTGGTAAGAGTTATCGTGCATTTATCGTTATCGAGGTGAACTGGTCAATATTTCGCAATATTGATTTTAGGCCATTTCACCCAGCTCTACTTTGAAGCAATATTAAAACTAGAAAATAGATTCCTCAAATGACTGGTGGTGAATGGCGGCAGTCCTTTTGGATTTTGATGTGGTGATAGGAAACTTTTTCATGGCTAGAAGCAGCTACAGACCAACATTGAGGCTGGTCACTTATTTTTCAAGTTATCCAGCTCACAAGGCAGACAGATGGAGGGAATTTCCAACTCCACTCTTATCTCTGTGACGAAGGACAACAAAGCTACAAAACAATCACCTCTTCTATAGTTTCTAAAAATGTTTTTATCGGTTTCATCGCAACATTTGTCTCCACTGGTCGAACCCTGTGAATCGAGTTCAACTAGTTTAGCTCCATCTGATTTCTGTCATAACTCAAAAATCAAGGAAACATCTGCATGTACTGATAATGCGGTGTTCCTAGGATTGGGCAGTATGAAGGTATTTTGTTATACTGCGGTATCAAAAGATGACGGTATAAAAAATGATGACTGTATGAGTCACGTGAGGTGACGCATATGAAAGCTGAGACAAACATTTCAGAAGACACTCCATGTTGTTCCTGAGGCGTGCTCTGATCATCTCAGCTCATTCAGAAAACAAACAGAATGGCGGTGGGATGGGGCAGAGACACCCTTATCTCTCCTGCCTCCATGCGGGGTAAAAAAAAAAAAAAGAGTAGGTAAAATAGGAGGTAAATATTTCCTGTGACTCCTGACATTAAGGTCAGAGCAGCTACTTTTCTTTAAACGCCTCTCTCTGGCATTGTGTACTGTAAATACTCACAAGCAGTCATTTTTCCATTAATGATTAATTAAAGACACGACACAGACTCCCTCCCCAAAAAAATGTCTCAATTTTGAACCCCGGCCCCATCCATCTTAGCCATTGGGATTTAAAAAGGTGAAATGAAGGCTACTTTAGTTGGTGAAATAACTTAATAATTTGACAATATATGTTGTTTGTAGTATGAATATTAATAAAATGTCTAAATATTGTTTTAAATTTGACCAAAACATGTAATCTTCTACAAACTGCGTGAAAAAACATATTTTTGCATCCCATTCATAGCTCCAGCAGGGGGCTCAGTTTGTGTGACGCAATATTTGTTGAACGACTCTTGCTCCTCATAGGATTACATTTAGAAGCAGCTTTTGTTTTTAAGACTTTTACATTATTTTGTGGACTTGAAATGGAATATTGTGTGGCCTTTGGGTTCACATGTGGTGCAGGGTCAGCTGCCAGCTTTTTTGTTTTTATTTTTTTTAAGATCCTGAGGGCAGAAGGTTTGCGTTGATGCGATGTGGAGGAAAGACTGGAAAACAATGAATCCCAGCCCCAGCTCTGCTCAGACCATTTAGCAGGGTTACAAGACTTTGCCTATTCAGTGCTTCACAGTTTGAGTAGATCCTTTAGTTTTGTGACCAAAAGGCTCGATCTAAAGGAGAATGCCAACAATGTTTACCCATGATGGATTATAAACAACAGCCATGTGAGGACACGCTCTGCTGCGGTCATAAACTTTTTTTAGCAGCTTCAGAAGCCAAAAGTCTGCAACTAAGTGGTGAGTTGCTTTTTATTAAGAGTTTTATATAGATTATGAGCATAATCGGGTCTGTCTCGTTCATTGCTCAGAAAGCTACACTGAGCACCTCGAAAGCAAGGCTGCCGGAGATCCGACGGCTAGCAGGCTAACAAGCTAGCTTCTCTTCATGTGAAACAGCTCCGGGTAAAATAGCGCTCCGAGCTGCGCTTCTTTCTGTATGATATTTAGCTGAAATGATCCATTCCCAGTTAAATTAAAAAGGTGAACAGTTTTGATGATCTTGAACACACAAACGCCAGTGTTTACTCATTCTCGCCGGTGTTATGTTGAGCCGCGTTTCCCCATCAGATACGGTTCCCCCAGCGTCTCCGTCTCCACCGTCAACATGAAACAATAATAATAATAATAATAATAATAATAATAATAATAATAACATTGAGTGAAAACAACTATTTTTTCCAGCTATCACTGTTGCTTCACTATGACACGGAGTGCTGCGGGTGGGCAGACGGATAAATAATATTTTAGAACCAGCAGCGCAGCGTCTTCAGCCCGTTTAACTGCTCGGTCCGAAACCGGAGAGACACACCGGTTAGTTGCTTTCTCCACTCCGTGTGACTGGTTCATATCTGTATGGCTGGATGGTTTTTATCTTTAGTTTCATAGTGAAATCTGATTCAGTATCATAGACGTGCATAATTCTGTTTCAAATATCTATCTTCATGCCATTATACTCTCAACCATGTCGTACTGTTTACCTGTTTGGTCTCTTACAACAAATGAAATCTTAGAACCCATAGTTAGGCTCTACAACAGGGCCTACAAAATTCATAAAAAACTTCCTGGTTGGACTCATCACTGTACAGTTCTTTCATTGTCTGATGCCTTGACTTTACAGAACTATGTTTTGTATAGTGGTATTAATTTATATTTTCAGATCTTCCAAGGTGCCAATTATGGAACTCTCTGTGCATTGCTGCCCAAATCAAATTCTGGAAGTGGTCATTCAACTAGATCAAAAGGACAACTGATATTACCAACTTTTAAAAACTGTTACGGCCAGAGGTCTTTCTTCTATGTTTATACTAAAGCATGGAATGACATTCCTCAAAACATAAAGTCCATTTCAAAACTACAGCCCTTTAAGAAGAATCTTGTCTGCCATCTGCTGGACACTTCTTGTGCTCATATTTAGATGTCCTATTTTGCAAATGCTGCCTTCCTGAAATTTGGTATGCTTGTTTGTCTTTGTGTCTATGGTGTATAATGATGTGATTGTGATGCTGTAATTCTGAGTGTTTTATGTGCTGCAGAACAGGAACCTGCTGTAAAACAGCAATTATGCTGAGTCAGGCTTGATTTTTAATAATCTTTTCCTGTTAAATAAATAAATCAAATCAAATAAGAAGTCAGATTGTTTGACATGTTTGACGTTACATATGAACAACTGTTTAGCTCTGCTACGTAGCTCCATTTAGCAGGTGGAAAATCTTATTTTTAAATATTTTTTTCATTACAGTTGTGAATAATTTAAACCACAATTTTAAATAAAACATATGAATGCAAAATATGCAAAATACACAATTTTGGGGCTTTTTCCTTCATTTCACCTTTAAGCATCGGGTGCCTGTTTTAGTCTCAGATGTCTCAACTGTTACGGTTCAGTATGAATACATGTGCTGTTAAAGTACATCTACCCAGAAGAGTTTTAGACTTCATCCAAGTAAGATAAAGCAAAAGCCAATCATCTGTAAAACCTTTCCTGCTGTCAATGTGGTACTCACTTAAATGGGTGCCCTTCATCTGACTTCTGGATGGCCTGCAGAATGCCTTTGTATATCCTGAAGCAGATGGTGACTGAGAGCAGTGCCAGTCCGATATAGGAACTAACGCTCACGATGCTGCACACGGTCAGGGAAAGCAGCAGCAGCAAGCTCGCCCCAAACACCACACCTGTCGTCTTCACATCACGCCAGTACAGGAGATCCGCCACTGAAGGAGAAACAAAGACAACCATCAGGTAATCCATAAACACTCACAGAAACATCACAGAGCTTCTGATCTCATCCTGAAAACCTATAAGTTGGCTGTGTGTCAATTCATGAGTTGCAGCGAGTTACCAGTTAATGAATTAATCTCAATTTGATTGATCTTATCAATTGACTAAAGATTCATTAATAAAAAGCCATTTTCTTCAAAACCTGAGTTTTCTCTTGTATCAAGACAGCTTTTCCATAACATGAAGGGCTAATTTTATTATAAATGCAGGGTTTCACCTACGTGTAAATGATCGTGGCGCACTGCCACGACTAAATAAAAGCCGCCACACTTTCGGAATGAAGTTTCTTTTTTTTTTTTTTCAACGTAAAACAGGGGTTGAAGCAATCATTGTTTAGTTTATCCGAGACAACCTATTTTCGTTTCGGACAACCAGATCACGCCTCCCAGTTGTCTGGTGGACAACCAAGAAAATAAAACCTGGATTAAAGTCTTCCTCCGCATCTGTTCGTCATTGTAAAAATGAACGGGAGAGAAAGAAACTTGTTAAAGCTGTCTAGGAATTAAACTGATGGTTCTTTCACCCAATAAAGAGAACCAAAGTCAAAGTTTTATCCAATCAGAACAGAGCAGGGCGGGTCATACAGTCTGACTGACGCTGTATGTATAAAACAGTAAAAATTTATTTTTTTCTTCTGTGCAAAGAACTTCCTCTGCTATAATTTTTTTTCTTCAAATAAACATATCAAAGCCCCTCAGTTGAAAACACTAAAATGATAGAAAAGATGTTTAAAAACCTCTTTCCTCCGAAAGTCTTCAGTCCTAAGAACACTAAACTGTAACTTTTAATTAGGTCATGTATAGTTTACTCCTATTTAAATAAAAATGTTTGACCTGTAAGCAGAAAGCTTATGGATGGATGTTGATTTTTGATCTCAGAGGATGAGGAGGAGAACGAGGAAGTTCTCCTCAGGCAGCTCCTAAAACTGTTAACCTGCTGACTGAGACCATTTGTATGTACTAAACTTTGTATACATAATAATATACTTTTTAAATTACATTTTAACCCCCCACCACCCCGCTCATGAGAGGTCACCACACCACCACGGTTAAATAAAATCCTAGGGGAAACCCTGAAATATGCTGAATTTATTAAAAAGAACGTCATTATAGTTTAACCATTTATTGTCCTAGTTGTATTAAATACTGATTGAATAACAAAAAATATGAATTTCTCACAGTATTAAACTTGAACATACAGTATGTATAAAATATAACAAAATAGAAATCTAATATGTTGCTGAATGGGAGATAAAGGGAAAAGAATAAAATGTCAGTGGCTGAAACAATAATAATAATATTACATATAGTGATGGACACGTTAATGTGTTATTTTAATGTAGCCGAGCTCAATGGCCATATTTTTTTAATGTGCATTAATGCAAAAAATTTCTTTAGATTTTTCCATCGGATCTCCGTTCACTGGGCAGCTAACAGACACACACAACCCCAGTGTTTACAGTGTGGGCGGGATCTTGATCACTATTGGCTTCAGATGGCCTTCATTGCGCGTCTCATCCAATAAGAGCCTTTGTTGTCGAGCCGTGGCTTGGCAACTCGTAGCCATTCCTCATGATAAAGCCGAGCAGCAAGCCGGGACAGAAACATGGTGGAATTCACCAGATTCTTCAAGGCATTTTTTTATTTTAAAACTTTTCCCTATGGCTACAAAGAAGTAAAGTTATCTGTAAGCACAGCAAGGCTACACCGTCTCACCACCAGAGCAGTTCAAGCCTGAAATATCAGTTCAGTTTAAAAACCAGCATAAACAAACAGAGGAAAGTTCAGCAGGAGGCTGGTCAGTGTGTTGGAGAAAAACGCAAACTAAACAGAAAGACGACAGTTTTTTTTTCTTTATGAGAGAATTTAGTTTTATTAACTATGATAAAAATGTATCATGGACCAAGGAATTTTAGCAACAAAGAATTTAGCAGCTTAGCAGATGGAATTCACGCTACAATGAAATATTTAAGGCAATTACAAATACTGATAGAGCTAAATCCTAATGCTTTTTTGTGTTTGTTACGTGTAACATTGATTTAATAATTACTGAATTTTGTGACATTATACGGTGAAGACAACTGAAGATGTGATATAAAACGTAACGTGGTAACACAGCAGCACATGGTCATGCAAACATACGTTATCTGTAGATTAGACCGTCTCATTTCACAGCCATTAATGCAGCCTACTCCACACCTAGGGTCAGTCTTTGTGGACTGAAACCATGAATTGAGACAATCGTTTCTTCTACTAGTAAAAGCTTCTTAACAGCAAAACTGAAAGGTTATAGATCCAAATATTTAAAACCAACCCTCCAGACACAACATTCATGTTAACCACTTAGAGATAAAATCTGAGATAAAACTGTGAATTTCTTTTGTATTTTACTGAACTTGATGAGATGTGGAGTCATGAGTTAGTGGTGGGACAAAACGGAAGTAGATGTTCTGCAACAACAATAAATTCCATGTGTCCTCAGGGGGACTCTGTTTCCTAAACATGAGGATGTGATGTGAAGGTGGAGTGTCCTCAGAGTTTGATTCTTAGAACAATGGGTGGGGTGGAGAGGGACACATGATTAAAAGCCCCCAGCAGACAAACTCACTGCAGGATGACTCATCTGAATCGTCAGCCTGTGGTTCCTGATTGCTTTGACCTGCCAGACGATCCTTAAAACTGCTGCTGAAAGCACAACACCCTCTTATGAACAAAACTACTAAATATTCCAGCTGCACCAAATTATTCAGAATGGGCATATTCAGAAGATAGTTTTATTTTGAAAATGTTTAGACTCCTTCCTTTTAAAAATTAACTGTTTTTTTTTTTTTTTTTTTTTTTTTTTAAAAATTTTTTTTTTTTTTTTGGGGGGGGGGATCTTTTTTAACTTCTGAATTCAGTAAGAATACTTTATTTGGACAAATAAAGTCATTTTAATTATTTATTTAACCTTGTATTCAGAATGCTATACATCTGTAAAATAAAATGAAATCTGATCAGCGAGCTACTGTTAGACCGAGCTGTACTGAGTCCTGATGTGGATGAAGTTCTGGCTTTAAAATCCTCAGCTGTTTTTGTTGGAAACGTTTTACACTCCTGCGTGATGAGTTAGATGCCGATTTTACTGAGCAGGCTAGCTCTGAAGCCTGCAGCTGAAAACAATAGAATCTGGAAGCTGTAGGGACAGAACCAGGGGGTTGCGGGTCCAAATGTGGTCCCCTGCCTAGATATGGTAGCAGGCGTGTAGCAGAGTCCGATATGCTAAATATAGAGCCCGAACCACAGACCTGAACGCTGCCGCGGATCTGTTTTCACCACCGGTTAAGGTTCGACACCCTTTGATGCGTTTTATCAACCCCACACACCCCCGGGAAGCTGACGGACAGCCCCACTACCACACGCAGAGAGGCTCTCCTCTCACAACACAAGCCGTGCTCAACATCAAAACTGTCCGGTGTGACCTCCGCAGACTGCCCGGTTCACCTGCAACATTTCCCGGCCAGAGCTCAGCCGAATTTCCGTTCTATCCGGAGGTATTACCGGGAAATAACCACCAGATGAACCTGGTAACAGCAGCGTGTAAATACCGGAGATTAAAAAAAAAAAAAAAAAAAAAAACACTAACCCCTCTTGGCGTCCATGTTGAACTCAAGCCTCTAGCTAGAAAGGAGCTCCGCCTCTCTGACCGGGGAAAAGATATACGTCTTGCGCATGCGCAGCTCCAATGAGGCAGAAGACATGGAAGCGCATGCGCTGCTAAACTTTTTTTATGTGCTGCTAAACTTGACTAAAGCATTTTTATTAAAATTAAAAAAGAACCACCAATTTCACTTCAAAAACATCAACCACCAAAAATCAAAAGAAGTTTTATCTTCACATAAAAACAAATAAAAAAGTACCTCAACACTAAGTTTTAGTTTATCAAAAATAAATTAAAAGTAAACTAAATCACTATTCGTTGGTTCTAAAACAAATGTTATTGATAAATTCTTCCACAGATTCATGTGAATTATTGAGATCAGAAAGTGAAACCTAAATAAAATATCTGCGAAAGGGAAATACCTGAGCAAGACTCAAAATTATTGTAAACTGATGAACCAATGAGCCAATTAATGTCTATTTTTTTTTAGCTATTACAGAAGAAAAAGGCTAAAATCAACATGTACTGCAGCTAAAATTATTTTATGGTAATAATCCAGAATAAAACACAGACTGCATTTAGGGAAAACAGAAAGGAAAACTACAAATTTGATGGAAATCTCAACAAGCACCTTTTTTTGTTAACAAGCACTCCTATAATTTTATTTTTAAAAAATCATGTCTTAAAGAGCAAATATGAATAAATGTTTCCTACAGGTCAAACAATTCTAAGTTTAGAGAAAAAAACATTAAATGGAAAATATAAATTAAACATTAAATGGGAAATATAAATTAAATCATTATATTTAACATTTAATGTTTGTACAGTATTTTGTGTACAACATGGAATTGTTTCCTATCTCTTTAGTTTCTAAAACTACAGCGTAAAAAATAAGTTGTGTACACATGCAAAAGTTAGCAGCTTGTATACTGAAAGTCGGCATCCTAAACAAATTGGAAAAGTGTGTTCACACAAAAAAAATTCAGATTTATTAAAGTGTACGCACACGTTTCTGCACACATACATGCAAATATTACAAACATGGAACTGAGCTCATAAAACTCTTTCCCTGATATGCCTTCATATAAATTATGCAAATAGACAGTCTGCTTTAGTTTCTTTTGTGCTCCACTGCTTTATTGTGAAAATTGCACCAGAGCTGGATTAATAAAGTTCCTATTCTTATTTTGAAATGCAAATATGTCTTGCAATGTGTGATTCTTCTCTCTGTTCAATCAAAAACTATGTCTAGATTCAGAAAAAAATAGAAATTTATTTATTGTCAGAGACGCTC